TCCATCTCTCTTATTAGGCCTAAGATATGTTACTCCTCCATGCATTCCTCCTCCAGTGCCATGAATCCATCGTTCCCTCACTCATTACATACAGCATCCTAGGGAATAATACATGCACTGTGGAAAACTTGAGCTCCAAAGCAGGGGGGGCTGATTTCTATTATTTTTTACAGATTGCGCTCCTTAACTTCTCTCCTGTGTGCTCCTTGGGAGAAAATGACATCCATTACACCTGCCAGCACTTTGTCTCTCTTACTTTAATCCTTTCATCTCAAGCTCAGAGTATAAATCTCTCCTTCCCTACAAGTTGTGGCCTCCTTGCTCATTCTGGCTTACTGTGCTTTGTCGCTTCCATCCAAATCTTTTTCTCCACCACACCTCGTCTCCCTTGTTTCATCTGGATTTCTGTGACACATTCTCACACTATCTCTGTCGCTATGCACCTACAGCATCTCTCCCTTTCATTACGTTGCTTATCACACTGAGAGCTGCTGTTGTTATCCTGCTCTTATGCTTGCTTTGCAGGGTGGGTAGACTTTGTGTTGTACTTTCACACTGTATGTTTCCTTTTCTCTGGCTGGATGACTCACGCACTGGTTACTAATTACTAAGGCAGTCCCTGCTGGGATACGCAAATACAAGCATTCCTGCCTCTCTCCATACCTTTTCCCTCTACCTTACTGCTCAAGAGTTACAAGCTATTCAGGATTGAAACTGTGTGAGAAATGAGCAATGTCACCAAACAAACCCACGCCCTGGAGGAGATGCTGCTACCACTGGATGACAACCTGGAAACTTTGTGTATGTTATGTGAATACAAACTCAAGGGACATTCTGGATGACTGATACAGGCAAACATGGTGTCATTCAATCTAGGGAAATCTCTTCTGACAACCACGTTTACAGCCAATCAAACATAAACCTGGGCAGGACTCATAGTTTCTCCAAACCCAGTTTTGCTTGAATATGAAACTATACCTGAAATACAACATTCACAGTCCACAGGCCTACATGACCAACTAAAATACCACAGGTTATTCTACTGAAGGTTTCTGCCATCCAATCAAATGTTTTATCAATGTAACACTGGAATATTTGTGGGGGGGGGGGGGGG